TTTCTTCTTTTGAATTTGTAAGAGATCATGTTGACTACATATTTTGGTTATTAGTCCGTTCTTTCTCTCTGATGGTTGAAATTCTTATGAGGTCCTCAAATCTCGCAGGTTATTGCGAATCGGTCCCTAGGTAGAAATTCCATGAAAAAGCTAACCTTGTTTAGGTTAGTGATAGTTATTTACCATTTTACCTTTGCCAAATGGGTTAGGAGAGAAGTTAACATTGGAGAAGAAAGCATTACTAACAAGTTTGTATAAACTGGTTTCATTGGAATAGGGATGAGTTCCGATCTATATTAAACAAAAGGTTATAATTAGCATTTCACATCCAGTAATAAAATTAGAGGAATGTTCAAGAATGTAAGGTGCTAGAAGCCCTTTATTCTATCTTTTGATGCTGGAAAGGAAAATTTCGTTTTGGAAACTTTTAAGAAAATTTTACTTTTACAATTATTTCTAAAAACTCTCCCAAATTTATTTTCAGATTACACATTTTAACGTTTATTTCAAATTTTTTTTGTCCTAGGTTTCGGAGCTAGTAACTCGAGAACTCAAATGAATTGATTTGTAGCCGGTTCACATAAAACTTCATTTTGAAACTTAACTTCTTTAAAAAAAAGACCCTATTCATTGATATAAATTTGGGAACACCAAAGCTAACATTATGGTTCTATAAACTTTTCAAACTTGAATAAAAAAGATTTAACATGAGAGTGCAATCCCAAACCTGATCATCTTTATACGTCTGTTGATAAACTCACACAATTCACAAATCTCGACAAAAATCAACATATCATCACAGTATCGAAAATATCACAAACATATCGTACTAATGAAGCCTTGAAGCCACATGATCATGTTATCTACAACATCCTAAAGTCATTTTTCCAATAACTAGCTTGAACATCACAAAAGATACACTTTCCAGATCATCACAGTATCACGCCATAACATCCTAAATTTGATATAATACCACGCTTGTCTTCTCAAAGATCTTAAAGGGGTCACTATGTACACCGCAACAAACCGAAATCAAGCTTAAAAGTATACATACAAATGGGTAACAAACTTGAACATTACAAAACATATACTTTCTAAAATCATCACTGTATCATGTCATAACATCCTAACTTTGATTAATACTAGGCTTTCCTTTCAAGCTTGACGAGGCCACTATGTACACTGCAACAAACCGACATCAGGCTTAGAACTATACAACAAAAGCGTATCCATCAGATTTTGAGGAAAGGTTATGTACATACACAAAATTCACACATGAACTCGCGAGCGGACTCTAGCTTGTGCTCAACCGAGTGCTTTGACCCAATAGGTTATCCATGTTCAAAATTCTTTTCTTATCCAGATATTTGTGATATTTATCTTTTTTCTTATAGAACTTGGCCACAGCTTTTGAATGAGCCTCACCCTCCTTATTGATTTCTTCACAGATGTGTGCTAAATAAGCTTTCTTCTCTTCTATCTGCTCCATATCATGGATATTCTGCCGCGAGAGCCTGCCTTGTTCATTGGGAACCGCTACTGGAAATCTCACAGCTGGTTCACTGGAAAGATATAAAAAGAACATCAGATTCAGCACAAAGTCCATTAATGCAACTCGAGCAAGCAGGCAATCAAACTGCTTCTGCTTATTACAGTAAGTCTAAGCTAATGAACTACTAGTAAGTTTATGAACAATTAACATTTTATTTGTCTCAGTTATACTAGCTTATAGCTCCTCAAATATTCTTTCTTAAGTTAAAGGCAAGTTCCAGGAACGACGAGTGTTCTCGTCCCTTTCTTATGTATTTCCAACTGTGATACTGGCACAATATGGATGAAATGGATGAATGGAAAATTGGATAAGATGCCGATGACTCTAACGATACAGATATTACTCACCACCTTAGAATAAACGACGGATGATAGGATTACCTCACCGATCTAGATTTACAGGTATCACCACTCTAGATAGATACGACGAATCACCACTCTAAGGACCCACCTTTGAGATACAGATAAACACAGTCTATGAAATCCACCAAAGAAATGTAGAACAAGGATAAAAGCATAATGCTTAACTTCAAACAAATCATCGACTGACTTTGCTATTAAATTTGAAAGCTGTATATAGGCTTAAAACAACCCTTCTGTTAGGTTGGGGGTGGATACCAACCTACGACGGCGGAGGAGCTCCGACGAGCTCCAGGAAGACGCCGACGAACTCGAGCAGTTGAGCTCGATTGGCGAACACGATGGTGGCTTTGGGCGAACGCGACCCTCGGTTGGCAAACGCGACCCTCTGTGTTTGGCAGTCCGACCCCCGCGTTCAGAGCTCCGACCTCCGCGTTCAGCGCCCACGCTCGCGTTTCTGGCCTCCGACCCCTCGCATCCGTTCGTGCGCTAGCGACAGGCTGTCGCCAGCCCCTCAATGTTTCGGCTATAAAAAGCCCCTTTGATGCCCTAGGGTGCTTTGCTCCTTCTCCCCGACTTTTCTCTGACGGCGGTGGAAAAATCCCAAACGCAGTAGCGTTCTTTCTCCTAAAATCGCAGCAGCGATTTTCATTTAATCCCAGTTTTTTCAACAGTGTTTTTAAAAGGGGATTTAAGAAGAGAGAGAAAAGAGAAGAGGGGATTTTATTGTAGGTATTAATACTGTAGCTACAGTGTTCATTTGAGGAATCTCAGTTTAGAGATTTGCTCTTGATTTGTAATTTCTTGTTAAATTAAATAAGAAATTGACTGTGTGGCTCCCGAGGACGTAGGCAGTTGCCGAACTTCGTTAAATCTTGTGTACTGTTCTCTATTTTGCGTTTCCGTTGCATTAGGGATTTAGGCGTTAAATTCCCAACAACTGGTATCAGAGCGTGAAACGATCTTGACTGTGTGGCTCCCGAGGACGTAGGCAGTTGCCGAACCTCGTTAAATCTTGTGTACTGTTCTCTATTTTGCGTTTCCGTTGCATTAGGGATTTAGGCGTTAAATTCCCAACATCAACCACACGAATCTACAAGACATTTAATGACATTGAGAAACTAAAAGACTAATTAAATAACCTAGGAAATTTAAAAGGCATGCAATTCAGATTTGACTACCCTTCAGTATTCAAGCGATAGCTCTCAGCACATATCTCTAAATCAAGCAAAATCAGTCTTAATAGAGCCTAGACTCGAATATCGATCTATCAGTTTAATCAGAGTCATTTGGACCTTGGAAGAAAAAGTTATCAGCAAAACAACAGACTTTGCGCACAGTCCAGAGGATCCGAGTTGGCAATTTAATCCCCATTATTCTCCCTCGGTTAAAAAGACTCGTCCTCGAGGAGTTGTTGCCATGATAGGGTGATAGATCAGAAATATTGAAGGTCGGCAATACACCATAGCTACTCAGAAGTTCAATCTTATAGGCATTGCTGCCGATCTTACTACGCATCTTGAACAGACAATCAGCTCTTGGCTTTAGATTACCGTGCTGACCTAGGGAAAATCATTCTTTTTGATAAATAATGAACCAAAACCAGATCTCCCTCCTTAAATGTCAGAGGTCTTCGATGTTTGTCAGCGGCATTCTTGTACTTCTCACTTTACTTCATGATGCGAGCTCGGACTTGTTCATGCATCTTTTAGATGTCCCTCGCTCTGACGGTCACATCTCTACTAAATTGATGAGTCACAGGAAGTGAAATTAAGTCTAGAGGACTTCTTCATGCATCTTTTGGATGTCCCTTGCTCTGCCAGCCACATCTCTACTAAATTGATGAGTCACAGGAAGTGAAATTAAGTCTAGAGGGCTAGTTGGATTACTGCCATAGACGACCTAAAATGGACTCACACCTGTTGTCTGGCTAGAGATATTTATGAGTAGAACAATCAAGACCATCAACACAGTCAAAAAAAATCCAAATTTGTTTGCTCCCGCATCATGCTCTGATACTACTTGATATCGACATGATATTAGCTGAGATGGATGAATGGAAAATCCATGGTTTTAAATGTCGGCCAGCTGACATGTCGGATCAGAGGCTAGAGCGACACAGATATGGCAATTTCAAGTCGGATATCGTTTTCAAGTCCATGTCGGACATGTCTGGGGATATTACGGACATATCGGCCGATTTTCAGCCTTGAAAAATCGAAAATCGACCGATTTATTTATTTATTTATTTTTGAGTTGATAAGTATTGGGGTTTGGGTTTAGTACTCAAAAGTCAAACCTGATTAATTCTTTTTTTAGCCTTTTGTTCCCATAGTAACCCGATAGCATATAATACAGATTAGGACAAAGAAAAAAATATTGCTCTCTTTTCCGCCGTGATCTCCTCTCGTTCATTTTCGTCTCTACAAATTGAAATTGAGAGTTCATAAAAGCGTGACGTAAACAATAAGTTTGAGCTATTGCTTGAAATCAATTCAAAGTCTAACACTTTATGTCAATTTTATGCAAGGCACTTTATGTTAATTTTATGCAAGGTACTTCAAAAGTTCTAGTTTGATAATGTGTATTTTATTTATTTGTTGGCATAATATTCTAATGTTTCCCTTCAAGAAATGGAAAACAACTCGTGTCTTGATGATGAATAATCAACTCAAGTCGGATAAGTTATAACAAGACAAGTGTATTCCATCTCGGTGACCAAAATAGAGTAGAAATCCATTCAATATGGCAATCCGATATTTAATATATGTCCCCCGATATATCCCCGATTTTTTGCTATCCAACATGAATTTTAGCTGTCTGATATGAACCCGACATCTGACATTTAAAACCTTGGGAAAATCTGATAAGATGTTGATCACTCTAAATATATGGATATTACCACCTTAGCATAAATGATGGATAATGAGGTTAGTCCAACCGATCTAGAGATACAGATATCACCACTCTAAATAGATACGAGGAATCACCATTCCAAGGGCCCCACCTTAGAGATAAAAATAAGCACTCACACTCCATGGAATCCATCAAAGAAATGTAGAGCAAGGATAAAAGCACAATGCTTAACTTTAATCAAATCAACGACTTACTTTTCCATTTGATTTCTAAAGCTATATATAGGCAACAACCCTTCAAGCATGGGATATCTATGAATCTAAAAGACATTTAACGACATTGAGAAACTAAGACTAATTAAATAACCTAGGAAATTTAAAAGGCATGCAGTCTAGATTTGACCGCCCCTCGGTATTCATGCCATAACTCTTGGTACAGATCTCCAAATCAAGCAAAGTCAGTCTTGATAGAAACTAGACTCGAATACCGATCTATTAGTTTAATCAGGGAGTCATTTGAACATAGCAATTTGGTTTCCATCAAGCTGCATTCGCACGTCACACTTTTCTAAGATTTATTAGAAATAAAAATAGGGAAAAGGAACTTTCATTGCCAAGAATAGAACTACTGGCGAACAGCAATTACACAAAAGAAGCATGCTACAAGGATTTACTATTACAGAAGCTATTGTCCTTTATGTTGACGCAAATAAACCACATGATAATAAGCTAAGTGAGAATTCTACAAATTTGTTTCTGTATAGTACATACATGTATTATTACTTTTACACGTGTTTTGTGTGTTACATTGACAATGCTTACAATGTCAATCTCAAAAAAGTTTAGTTTCAGAAAATGACAAAGGAAGACGCATACTATATCATACCAATTTATAAAAAAAGGGGAAATATGAAGTCTAATAAACAGCAGACAAGAAGCACATATAATAATAATTAAAAGCATATAATAAGAGTGAAAATCATATGAAAAAAATTTAGCATGCTATGCACACAAATATTTGTACAAGTTAGAACACTAACTGGTCACCAAGAAAGATGACTCCGTTATCCTTCATTATTCCACCATCAAGAGAAAGAGCCCCGTGCTTTATGCAGCCAGCAGCCATACGCATGTGTTCCCTGGTTTCATACACTTGGGCTTCACCAAGGAGCCGATAGAATAAGGTTTCTCGAAGGCCATAACCTCTTGCAGTCCTTGTATTCAAGTGATGGACATCCAACTCAATCATGTTCACAGCATAACCCAAAAATCCAGCTGGGATTCCCTGAGATGGTAGAAGCGGATTTGGCAAAGCCAATTTCCTTTGAGGATCATTTTTCTTAAGCCCACCTTTATACGGCCTGTTACCAACGAAAATGAATTAGTATATAAGAAAATAACCTACAGAATATAATTCCTCAGGTATATCATGACACTGCATGTAAGTTTGTATCATGCTGGGAATAATTGAATGAAGATTTGTGACCGACCCTCTAGATAGAACATGATGGAAAGGTTGGATGAAGAATAATTACCAGTTTATTGAAGAATGTAGTCTACATCAACTTTCTTTCCCATGGTAATCTTTAAGAAGAAACTTGTTAGTATCAAATCCTTTTCTAAGCTCGTTGACATCAACTTTTTCTTTTTCTTCTAATTTTCAGAGGACTAGCAGTAATTAAAACTCCTAGGACTTTCATATCTTAAATGCTATCACTACACAGGATATGCGGACATACATACATATGCATACACATGCAAATATATTATATTATTACTGGTTACATATTGAGAGAAGCATATGCTCTATTTAGCGCTACTTGTTCACCAATTGCATAAACCGACATAGTTTAAGAAAACTGTCATAGTGGTTGCGATTGGATGATTATAAGTGAAAAGCTAGCATTTCTCAACACTTGAGGATTCTTCTTAATGGATCCTTCCCACATATCCTTTTAAATGCTTTTCCTTATATTTAATACAAAGACAAGTCAATAGCTATTTCCTTTTCATTACGTGATAAGTGTTCAAACTGTGGAATATGGATGTCTATTGTTGTCCCAAGTGTGTAACATAACAAAATCTTATATAATGAAAGAATCTAGGTGACAATAGACAAAGGAAAACTAAATAATATTTGTAGACTAAACTAATTCAATTTGCATCTTTTGAATCTATTATTAATAGTTAGGAGAATAACTGCCTAAACACTATTTTATATTTTGGATGTTCACGATCTCAAAATATGATGAAGACTAGAATTAAGTAATAACAAATAAAAGTAACGAAATTGAGTAGAGTAAGAGCCGTATAATATGTAAAATGATTAAGCTGTTTGTCCAAACACTTACAATTTCCATATGCATCAGAGCAGATAAGAGGTTTGGGCTATCTAAAGAGACCATCCTAGAAAGATAACACGAAACATGCCATGGATACACTTAAGGAAAATTTGTAAATAATACAGAAGGGTGTCATCATTAAGAGATATAAGGAGAGACAATGTTTTCATTGCTTACTCAAAATCAGGAGGTCTTGGAGGCTTGCCCCATAGTTGCAAGATCTTAAAGTGCAAGAGCCAACAAATTAGATGCTCTTATCTTTTGTGGACATCGTGGTGAAATTTTAGGATGAAGCTAAAGAGTCTTATCAGCTGGATAGTTGATCATTTCTATCGTATAGGAACATTTTCACCTTTCATGCATGTCCACAAACAACCTTATTTTGATGAGTAAAGGCGGACATGATCTTAAGGTAGAGCGACAGGTAGGTGCAAAGTAGTATCAGAACATACAATGTTGAGACAGGGAAAAAATAAACTATGTGAGAAAAAAATAGAAATAAAGGACAGGGAAATTGCTACAATTTCAAAAAAAATCAAAGATGAAGAAAGAGGGGACAAAAAACCACAAAGTAGTATTGGTAAACTTCAAAGTAGACTGCATTCAACAAAGTAGCACAAAATGTTTATGATAAATAGTGGTTTATAAGTGACCATTGTTAGATTTCTGCCTGCATACCAGATGAAAAATGACACTACAACAATAAAGAAGTTATCTCCAGCACTTTTACACATGTTTCCATTGTAAGATAACAACAGGCTCATATTAAGTACAAAGTGTCAGATTAGTTACTATAAATAATGAATCTTATAGATCTTATACACTAGCATAAATATCAAGAGTAAAGATGTTCGTCAATATCAGAAAAATAGCCTTGAAATCTTCCAACAAGCTACACCAAATCTTCTTATGCAGAGACATGGGAAGAAAATAGGTATAAACCATAAGTGCAAGGACAGGTGAAGACATTAAGCAATTAAATCAGTATTATAGAAATTGGATGTATTATTTTATCAAATATGGATATGCAAATCTGTGATGTTATAGTTATGATACTATTTTTTATAAAGGATAAAGGAAATTTAGAATTCAATCTCCTTTACTTTATTTCCTCCAAGCAAATGACAGGAAATCTCCTGTTGATGGTGATTCCCAGGGTAGCTGCTGCTTCATGAAGAGCCGAATTACGAGACACTTTTCCATTCTCACAGTAGCTCTCCAAAGCACTGGCAGTTTTATACGACTTGCAGACGACTGCAAGCATATAATCTTCACCAAGATATTCCGCAAAAATACTGCAGAGAATCGAACCCCCATGCATAATGTGAACATCGTATAAGAAGCGCCATATCTTGAATGAGAGAATATGATTTTGAGCGAAGGTGGACTTATTTTACCTACTATATTTACTGTCACTAACTGTACCAAGAAGGGCAACAAGGCCAATAAAATCTTGCATGAAGTGTTTCTGTGGCTCTGCAGTCTGGATGGCCTTTGAAAGATTGCAGAAAACAGCAGCAGCAGTGTTCCTTTTCCCTTCTATATGCTTAATTATTTGTCCTTTAAAGTTAGCCAATGAATCTACATGAGTCAAATCCAAAGGTTCTATCCTACCTGAAAATTAGATAGCAATTAATTTCAGACAGGATTCGAGCATAGCAACTAACTAAATGATTATGATGGTCTACCTGATAATTATAGTAGAGCATTATACATCATCAAAATGTGAAAAAGCTCAAAGTTATAACATTTATGAGTTCAAAGGAGCTATCTGTTATATCTAAAGAAAAAACACTTGATCAAAACACTTGATCAGGGAAATATTTGAAATCTTACCTATCAGAAGTATCAGTGCCAATAAAACAAGTGATGATATGTTAGCATGAGATGCTGAAATAAATCTTTATATGCAAACAAAATAAAACTATTCAAGAAAAAAAATGTGCGTGATTCCTCAAGGAAAATGAGAACACAAAAAAATTAGCTGATTGTGGAAATTGATTGCCAAACACCAAAACCTAGTCAAGTTCATTTTGCAGTAGGTCAATAAAATAAGTAGATACTGTTAATCCGGTTGCACCTTTTAGGCAGATAATGGTGTTCAACAATACACTATCTTGGATATCTAGCCTTGAACCCATACGATCAGAAGACGCATTCTTTGACAGGTATGTATGAAGAATGATAAAAAAGGTAATCATCATAGAGTTCAAGAGCATCAAACTGACATTGATTAAACCTTGTTCTAAAAAACAATGCCGAAAACATAAGTTTGAGAACAATAAGGCATGATAGAGAGACACACATGTAAACCATTAGCATGAGTTAGCAAATAAATTGCATTTTGTAATCAGATAATAGTTTATACTCACCACAAAATTTCTAATGGAAATGACAACAGCATTTAGAACAGTGACATCTATTAAGTAGCACAAAGATAAGCCCGCCAAACTTTCAAGAAAGGCCCTCCATGTCATTTCACAAATAGTATTCCTATCAGAAAGCAGAATTTAAAGCAACAATGCACATTAAATTAATCATTTAATCTTAAAGGAAACTGTTAAGGTATTTAAATGGCTACTATTTTCTCAGGTAGCTGTTTGAGGCATAAAAAGACCAGACCAACTACTAATAGTTCTGCAAGACAAGTAAAAAAAAAGATCAATAATCTAAGGACAATGATAAAAGAGGGAAGGGTCAGAAATATAAAGACGCAGGCCAAAGATTAATGAGTACAAGAAAACTATAAAGATATTGGTCATGATAATGTTAACTGGGGGCTTGTTATTGTCAACTATAAACATGACAATATCAAGAAAGCTCTTTCTCCAAGAAAGCTCTTTCTCCTAAATCAGACAGTTGGCTATATCAATTGTACTAAGGTTTGTGCCCTCTTTTAACAAACAGTTACCAGCACTTTTTAAACAAGAACCAACTTCATTGAGGTCTAACTCTAGTCATCATTGTTCCTTCAATTTAACTCCAGACTGTCACACTTGCTGGTCTCCATGGCACATGCTCACTTTCTTTCCCAGTTTTCTACCTTTCCAAGTTACTTACAGATAGAACAACTATTGTAGATGAACTCCCAAATATAAATTTTGAGTATTCTGAAATCTGAAGAAGCTGTTCATTTCTTGTTGACACAAATGCAAACATCATGTGCATATCACTAGAAATAGAAGTAGAACCTTGAAGATGACATATCTGTTCTCCAATCTCCTCCTTCTGTTTATTTAATAATTTAAGCTTATCTTCATGCTTCTTAACCTGCAATCCAGCTTCTTCAATTTCTTCATCGAAACTCTGTAAATGAGATGAACAGATGTCTGAGTAATTATTAAAAGTACACACACAAGCGCGCCCGCACATACAGTGATATATGTATGCATAACTAACATAAATTCAGCGTGTAGGTAAAAAGTGTCGGACCTATGGACTTGGACATAGAATGATATGCTGAAAATAGTTAACATAAATTTAGTCAATAATCTTACATTAGTTCCTGTATTAAATGCACAGGGACAATAAAAAACCATATTGTAAAATTCTTTGCAGTGAAGCTAGAAAGACAAAACAAAACATCGTGATACGCCTTAAGTTATACAACAAACAACACTCTTAAAAAGCACAGGTGAGGTCAACGAAGATTCAAGTTGCAACATCAGGTGCGTCAGACTTTAAATTCAGGTCCCGATTCCCATAGAGCCTGCCCGCAACCTAAAACATAACCTCAGTGGCCTTTACAAATGCTGTTGTTCTATGGACTGGATAAAAGAAATTAAACACTCAGGTTTTTGGCATGAATCTGTGAAAGGCATATGGATAACAAATATCTACATGGCAGTTGATCTATACCCCAGCCAATTTCTGGACAGCTTTAGGCAAAATTTCAACCTTAGCCTTCTATTGCGAGGGCCACATAAGCTTGGGCTCATCATAGACTTACATGAACATGATCCTAGTTACCCACTAATAATATTATATTACAAATTGTGAATTCAAGCAATGACATTATTTCGCAAAAGCTTGAACCTTTGAAGTGCTGGAATAATTTTTAACTTACCTTAACATCATCCATTATAGTTCCCTTCAAGAGGTTCAACTGACTGGGTGAGCACTGTGATGAATCCTGGAGGGGCAGTAATCTGTCATATGGGCATTGGGATTGGCAAATGATAGGATTTGAGTCTGCCATAGGGATCACGTCCAGATTAGAGGCTTGCACAACATGAACCTGCAAGGTAAATCCCTCTATCAGAGTTGAGATTTTTACAACAGAATAGTGTATCAGGTACTGAACCTCAATATTCTCGCAGAGATCAGGGTATTGGGTATGAGAAGCCGAAAAGCTGAAGGGCCCTTGCTCTTTAGGAACTCGGACAAAAGGCACAGTGCACCGACCATTCTTGAAAGTATATTGAATTGTGTCATCCATTTTTGATGATCCTGACGTAATTACAAGTGTATGGTGATGGCCATGTATCGTCTCATCTATTACACCATCAGAATCAAAAATTCCAAAGACCAAATTGTTACAAAAACCGTAGAATAAACTGCTGAACATATTGTTACACCATACAATGTACCCAATTTTTCCAAAGGAAAAGATAATAACTCACCTTAGATATAACTCTCAATTCCCTTTTCATGACCCGAAACATTTTCTCAAAAATCACTTTCCCTCCGACAGACACAAGAACATGAACTGTATAGTGAAAAAAATTTCAAAAAAAGAAAAAGAATATCACAAACATGGCTAACTATCTAATTGTAAAGATGTGTGTGAACATAACAAAAATAAACTTACAAAAAGAAAAAAGTCATTTCAAATAGTGTAAATAATAACACGTCTTCACCAAATATTCATATATGTATTTAAGTTCAGCTCATGTAAAATCATATATCAGAATTCTCATCTGTCTCGTCTCTATCCATCTATCTATGTAACAACCTCATATCTACGTCTCATTCATGTTACTCTCTCATAACTTCTGTTCAGATTAATAGGCATGTAGACAAAACATGCACCTAAAGAGCTACTATCTCTATCTAACTAAATCCGTCATCCATATAAATGAACTGACAGACTTGTGGAAAACGCCTTGCATTAATTTGATTATTTAGAAATAAAATAAACTACAAAAAAGTTACTGCAAATGCAAAGGTAATAATCATCTACAATGTTTTATTCTCGGGACGTTGAAGTGTAAACATAACTCTTAACTATAGCAACCTGATGCGGTGCTGGCAGATAAGTTAAACTGTTTAGAGGCAATTCACACACACGCGCGCGCGCACACATATATTTAGAGGTGATTCACATATCTTTTAAGACAACAGCTTTATGCATACCTCTTGAACCATAACCAGCTGTCACTTTCAGAAGCCCACTAAGGTTAATATTTCCTTGATCGCTCACCTAAATCAAAAAAATTGTATTTGTGAATTGTGAGGCAATATAACAAGTTCATAAGTCAACAACTTATATTTTACAGTACATCATTCCTCCAAAGTAACCATCAAGCCAGTTGCCTAAAGAAAAGTCTATTTGAGTAACAAATTACATAAAATATAAGAACTATAAAAATAGGCAAAATTTACAGTGAATTTGGAAGGCAACAATATAAAGCAGATGACTCCAATTACAGATATGAAATAGACTAAGATAAGTTTGAAAGATGAAAAATGGAACTTCAACTTCCAGTTAACTGTGAACTGATCACGGACATCGGATGCATAATAATCATCATCATCATGCGGCTTCAGTGTCTTAAGAGCGCAAGGCCATATGAAACACAAATGTACATGCTTCTCATTCTTTCTAAAGGCAATAAAGCACAATAGCATTATACACAGCTTTGCTCATACACAGTACCAACGACAAACACGAACAAGAGAAACAATAATAATAAAATATAGATAGAAAACAGCTCCTATTGCATTGCCTAAAATATTTGGGCTAGAAGGTAGGTGCTGTATTCATACCAATTAGGTTGGTTTGCATGGTTGGCAGTTTCATCAGAAAGAATCCTGCGATAGGCCTTTCATGGTTTAGACTTGTACTCCATAGACAGCCATATTTCATGAGAACATGCTTGTAAGTGGAAAATATCTGATAGTTGAGCCTTCCACCATAAGAGAAAGGGTGGTTTATCTACCCTTAGCAACACATGTTACTATAAAATAATGTTGATTATCTTTCTAGGGATTTTTAAGCATGCATTCAAATTTGTATGTAACAAGGTTTAGTAATAGATCACAGGTGAAAAAGAACAGATGTAAGAATTTTCTATTCCACTTACCGTGCTACTGAAGAGCTAGTAGATTTCAGTAACATCAACACTTAACCACTGCTTACCACATTTACTTCTAAAACATTCAAATATGTATTTCCCACTATTGATTTTCTATTTAGGTTAAAGTAACACAAAAAATAAAGTTGATAATACAATTTTCTGTATACAAAAGCGTTATCCAAGGAAAATAAAATGGAAAAGTAGGAATTATCGTTAGAATGCCTTATCAATATAACAAAAGCAGAAGTATGTTTATAAAATTTACCACTGACTAGCAAGCTACATGTCCAGACTCCAGAATGACTTATTCCAAACAATATGTCTAATTAACAATCCTAAAAATGGATGGACAAGGTTCATGTATAGGACAACAAAAATATAATCTTACAATGTGGTCCTAAACTAATTTATATAACTACTAGCTATTCTTATAACACCAAAAAATGATATGATACTGACACTGCAACCCCATCCCCACCCCCAAAAAAAAAACCCAACCCCACCAAATAAAAAAGGGAAAAGAAAAAGAAAACCCAACAACACCCACACACACAAAACCAAAAAAACCAATAAAAAAGGAGAATATCCCTCTCAACAAATAAATAAGAGAAATATATTCAAAACAACTCACCTTACGGATGGAACCCAAATAATCTTGGAAACACAGACCGTCAACTTGCACAGGAATTTCTACACCTTCTTCTATATGATTGCCACAAGCATCCAGCACCTGCCAGATTAACAGTCAAACCTGGACTAAATAATCCTCGGAAATTAATGTTAGAATGCAATAATATTTCTATGGGAATTTGAAACAAGTCAAATTAAAACATCCATGATATGGAAACAAATAGAATACCTAACGAGCATATTGCCATCTGTATTTTTGAAATAACCACCGAAAACTAAAATGCTAAGAAATAACGAAGTAGTAACCATACTAGTTCACAAGAAAAGCCAACAACCATTGCAAAGATTACTGAATATTAATATCGTCAAGATGTTTCACTCCACCAGCATGTGTGGCGCTCCTTTCATAACCACTCCAAAATCTTACCTGAACAATTAAATTTTCCACTGGATTAAATTATCAATTTACTTAATCGAACTTTATCAAAGTATTATTTTCAACTGTGCAACGGGAAAACCTAACTATGTTCTCCGTTTGTGTGGTCTATATTTGGTTTTCTTTAAGCAATTTCGGGAATAGCTATTATAGTTCTCTTGAAGATTTTCAGAATTAGTTACTACTCAAACATTAAAGTCAACAGCATGCACAAAAAGTTGGCCCCAAAAATTCAAAACAATATTATCACATTGATGATGATAAAAACAATTGTTGAATCTGGCCTGGAGCAGGCATATTCCATGCACGTCAAGGTATTTCTTTAACATCACAAATCAACAGGCCAACTCCAAAAAGTTCTACAAATTATATGACTGTCAACTGTTAGAAATCTTTTTGACACAGTCAACGCATGGACAAATTAGACCAGAAAGAAGACATAATACACCAATGCAATTGTCAGAATCAGTTAAAGCTCACTAAAGCACAAATGTATTATTTATCTTGAAGTTAACATTCTAATCAATGTTAATTCATTGCACTGTACAATGAAATAAGGTACCTTGATTGGACTTGATGGCTGGGAGTTAATTTTAGGAGTGGAGGAAAGGCCAGAAGGCATTTCCTTTCCAAACTGACAAGATGCTATGGGTGCTTACATGTATCCAGAATTGTTGATCTACCCTTATAGAGTGAATGTAAAGAGTTAGCCAAAAGAATGTATATGGTAATTTTTATGATAGATTCTCCCGACTCCTAAAAGTACGCATGTACTGAACAAAAATCATATTGATGTCTGTGCTACATTAATATACGATTAATGTTGAAAACTTTTTTTATTCACAATCACAGTAACTTAGTAAGACAAACTTCTTCAAGTTGGCTGAAAAGACAAACGTTTACCTGCAGGATAGACAGACTGGAGAGCGATAATAAAATGTCTTAGAAGTTGTCACTATATTGCTAATTCGTTTATCACTGTTTGCATAACTGGTGTCCTACTCGTCAAATCTCAAATCTATATTACCGCAATAGCACATGAAATTTGTTAGACGAATTTCCAAACATTTTTAAACATTTATAGGAAGATTGCTGAAAGATAACTTCGGCGCAGATTTTAGCTTGCAGTCTATGAGAAACATTTGAAGTTATAAGAAGTGAAACCCTTGGCCATTTTATATTATCATAGATACCATGTGAGGATCTATACATAAATAAAATAATGATAACATGTACGAAGTAGCAAGAAATTCAACACCTCCGGAATCCACAGTAAGAAACAGAACTTTCCAGTGACAAAAATAAATAATTCTTTCGGTGGAAATAAGAAAGTTAAATAACTAAATAATAATAATACAGGAAGACAGGTAAATCATAACAAAAAAAAGAACATAAGTCTCAGCCCAAAGATCACCTCCAGTACAAACTCTTTAATCACAGTGCCTGGACTCAAATGCTTTTCAACTTCTGAGGAGCACTGCATCTTAATGGAGGACGGTGGCCCTGGCATGGCTGCATGATAAGGGCAATAAGTTCGGGAGAAAGAGAAAACTGAAAAACTAAAAGCCTAATAGAATGAATTTGGTGGAAGACATAACTAATGGTCAAACTAGTCTACTGTATTATATAGAGAACATTCAAATGTTAAAAGTTGGAGCAACCTCTACATGGAACTTCAACGATTGATTAGCCTTTACCGACTACCGTTTGAGTCGGGCTAGTATGCGGTTTGTTTAATTCCGCTCCCATGTCACGTTTAAGCTAAAAGAGTTAACCCTTTTAATGCTACGATATTGAATACGTAGACTTCGCCTTTCTCACGGGAATAGACTACCCGGCAACGCGTGTTAGGCACATTCAAATGTTAAAAGTTGGAGCAACCTCTACATGGAACTTCAACGATGAGTACATCCTCCAGTGAATAAACCCCCAATGCAGCTTCATAACAAGGCCGAATCACGTCCAGTTTCGAACTTTCAAACAACATGTCCTACATAGTTCATTACATGCAATTAAAGGTTAGTCACATAAGAAGTTAATTATTACCAATACTATGTAAAGTAGATAATTGCAGTACAAGTATACGCGTCTTACTGTAATTTCCACAAACAATTGATTAGATGATACAGCGATCTTCATTTTGTCAATGTTGGCGAGAAGGAAATCTTTTGTGCTGACTTTGATCTTAACTATAGGGAGGCTAGAGAATGGAATTGAGTTCATGAACTGATCAAGACACGTCACAGAAAGGTATGAAACATGGGATCCTACCCTGTTGGTACGTATCACATATTAGAAAAAAAAAATTAGGTAAGAGAAAGAATGCGTAGAGAAAAACAAATACATAACCTACTATACAATTTTATTATCAAGCTATAATAAAAAAAAGTAGTCACAAGATCTATAACGTATACTTCATATGCAGTGGTAGATCTACATGGTGTCCGATGGTGTTATGGGACACCAGTGGATTGCCTACTTTATAGATATGTTTATTTTACCTATATTAACTACTTAGAACACCACTAGAATCTGGGTCGGACACCGCTAAGGAGGAAGAAAAAAAAGTGTAAATTTGCAATCACTGGGACATGCTTATACTTTTAATGGACTAATAAGGAGACAGCACGTGGACAAAATCCTAGATCTACCACTGTATGCATAAGATGAATAATGTTTTGCACATTTTAAAGTGTTGGGACATGAATGTACAGACGTCCCACGTTTGCATGTCTTGTAGATGCCAATTTTTGTTAATTGTATATATCACAGGAACGACCCAGAAGCAATCTTGCATATTTGCAAAGACATATTTTCTTTTTGAGTAACATGGTGAAATTAAAAGCGTTCTGATAAAAGGTGAGGCTGAATAACTTCTATAGTATGAGAGGACAAATTTCACATAACCCCCCTCCCAAAAAAAAAGAAAGAAAAGAAAACAATGCAAACCAATTCATGGAGATGATATAGAGGTGTTGATAAATCCAAATCAGATACCTTATATCAAGAAAGTTGATTGAAGATAAAGGAATGAATGGAAAACAACCTTCGGCAATTTAAAACTATGTGAACTCAATGGAGTAGACAGCACTAACATAATCTTCAAGCAACGTATCACGAAAGTACGGCACAAGGTAATGCAAGTAGCTTGTATACAATAAATAATGTTTCAATCTCAAGTTCAAAAGTTTACCGAATAGGAACAGACTTATCGCCGAGAGGGCCTCCCTTGTCATATAATTTCCACTCCACGATGCTTGAAGCAGGTTTAACAGCAACTGACAATTCCCTCTTTTTACAGCTAGAATCTTTGCAGACCTGATAACCAAATATTTGTAATCAAAATAAAAAATAAATATAAGCTATACAATGTTGAAGGAAACACTTGTAAAAAAGCATCAATCCAGATACTTACAACTGAGAAGGAAAATATATAAACACCGGATTTACAGAAGAGCTTTGCCTTTCTTGGCCGCAAAGGGAATATGTACAGTCCATGAAAACCATTACGCAAAGAAGGCTTTATTCGTTGCGCAAACACTAGGTCTCCACCTGGGGAGCCCTTACCACCACATACAAGTCTAACTTCCATTGACATCTCTAGGTCATCCTTTACAATAAACTTCTGATCAAGGCCTTTACTGCTAGTTGAAGTATTATAGCAAGATGGTCTAATAACAGCAACAATTTCATCTGGAGGATCATAACCAGCCTCAACAGGAATGTCTAACGGTAGCTCCTGATGCACAGATCACAAAGGTGATGAGTGGAAGAACAACATAACAGGTACAATCAAGATCATTACCAAAGGAAAAATGTTAATCTGACTATAGAGTAGCATATGTCTTTTATACAGTTGCTAACTAACCCCCTTAATATTTAACTGGCTACAATGTTCACTGGTCAGTATGTCAATCCAGGAAGGAGCCTTTTCCTGTTTCTTTTCAAGTTGATAATTCCATGCAACACCATCTATTGGCTGAATCTGTACAAGCAGTATTTCAGGATAAAAAGAAGATAATGGTATCTGGAAAGTCGAAGCATAATTATATGGGAAAGGTAAAGACAGCAGATTAAAAGCATAAAAACTGAAGCAACCTTCCCATTATCGATCTCAGAAATAGGAAACAATCGAGAATCACGAATGTTCAAGCTTGCATATCCATCATTTACCACAAGCAAGCAGCCTTTTTCATCTGGACAGCCAACAAGCCTTACCATACCAAGCAAAAAAGAAAACATAATAAGATAACACAAAATGCAGTGAGATCTTCAACCAACAAACACCTCGCGAGAGGAAAAACATACCTGCAAACTAAATGTGCTTCTCCTGTGAAGAACAAATAATGATTAATAATTAAGATAAGAAAATAACCATTTTTTTGGGGATACACTATGATCGATAACATCATGTTCAGAATATCCAAGAACAAGCAACAGAAAGGATTCACCAAAAAAATAAACATTTACAAACAACAGAATTTCAATAATAAGAACAGAGATATCTGAATACAAAAGAAAAACCTCATGAAAACGAAACAAACACTTACCACCAGCATCTCCTTGAAATCCTTCAAGCAAAAAATACTCCAATGTGGCATAGAGATTATTTTTTGAACATCCAACTGCTCCTTTAATAATTTTAACTTTTTGGCCTGATTCCCACAATCGCCCTTTTCTCCTTATGACTTTGTGTACTCTTACAACTGGAAACAAATAATTGGAGATTAAAGATTATTTGACTGAACATGAAATTTGAATGAGCAAAATGCATTAGACTTTCCAGTCTAGATGAGGGGGGAAAAACAAAATGCATAAGACTTTCCAGTCTAGTAATAAGGAAAGAAAGTAAAACAAATTTCATGAGACTTTTCAGCCTTGTAATGAGGAAAGTAATGAGGAAAGAAAGTAAAACAAATTTCATGAGACTTTTCAGTCTTGTAATGAGGAAAGAAACTAACGGCATGAAATTTGAATGAGCAAAATGCATTAGACTTTCCAGTCTAGATGAGGGGGGAAAAAACAAAATGCATAAGACTTTCCAGTCTAGTAATAAGGAAAGAAAGTAAAACAAATTTCATGAGACTTTTCAGCCTTGTAACGAGGAAAGTAATGAGGAAAGAAAGTAAAACAAATTTCATGAGACTTTTCAGTCTTGTAATGAGGAAAGAAACTAACGGCATAAAACTACAAAGCACCTGATTGATGATATTTTATGCCATTACCATCAGCAGATATCCCAAGTTTGTTTTTTCTGCTGGGGCAAAATACAAGAACAGGTTCATCCTCACCGCATTCTGCTTCTTCATCATATAAAGCATGCATCTGAAATACCCAATCATGAAATTCCTTCTCCAGGTTTAACAGATTTAGTGGTTTTCCATCTTTCCTGATCTCGATGGTTGCTACTATTGGTGAAAGATAAGACAAAATCAAGCTACATATTTTATGGCGAAAAAACTACCATAATAGAATGCAAGAAAAACTTAAAACCAGATCATGTTTAGCAAGCACCTGATTCCTCCCCAGAAGGCTTACTGCCAATGTTCCGTAGTACCAGAGTGAAAAAATCGTGATGTGCTAAATCTGTCTGTAGAAAAAAAAATACATATAGGAGATAAATCCACAGTTTCACAAACAAGATCATTTCTCCTTTCCTCTTCTTTTATTTTTACTTTTCCTTTATAGCCATATCGTGTTTTATGTATGTATCTGTGTTACTGTGTACACATGCATGCGTGATCGTTTTGTATGATAAGGTTTGGACAGGTAGGTCACCCAAGACACTAAATGATTACAGAGCACCAAAAAAATAGAATGATGGCAAGTTGAAATTTTCTATTACAGCCATTAAAAATGCAAAATACTGAAATATCATTCAATCAGAGTTAAAACTTACAGCTGTAATATGGAGCTGTTCCATATTCCACAATGTCTTGCTTACATTCTTACTGAAATTTAGGTTTAGTAGGTATTGTAAGCTTACTGAAATTTAGTTTTAGGGGGTATGTAGAGAGTATCTACATGAAGGAATGCCTTCCTCTTGCTCGCTGATGCAGAAATTTGGTTAATTTCTTCCAGTCATGATGCAGCACATAAAACATGGAAAAATATGATCTTATTGCCCTTAGCCTGACTTGAAGTTAGCTAAAAGGATAAGAATGAAAGCCTACTGTTTTGCATTATATGAGGCTATAGGAGACTAATTTCATGGCAAAGCAGAGGAGAAGAGATGAATAAGCACAAGATTCAAGGAATTATGCAATAATGAAACCTCAACAACGAAAAAAACAAGTAAGATCGACCCATATATTAGCATTACTGGGGATATAAGGAACAACAGCAGCAGAAAACTGTATTTTCAACGGAAGAGCAATTGATGGAAATCAGTTTGTAGAGAATAGAGAAAACCCTAATTGTTGTTTATTGAGAATAACAAGAGAGATATATATAGCCATACAAATAGGGTTAAGGTTAACGGGTAACAGCCCATTAACCCAATACCCAATACTTAACTTAACACTCCCCTCAAGCTGGAGCATAGATGTTTACCATGCCCAGCTTGTCACATATAGTAGAGAACACATTTGAAGAAGTAGCATTGGTAAGAATATCAGCAAGTTGTTGTGAGGACGGAGTGAATATGAGAGATACTATCTTCTTCTCCCAAGCATCTCTGACAAAATTGCAGTCAACTTCAATATGTTGTCCTCTCATGAAACACAGGATTCTGTGCAATATAAATGGCAGACTGGTTGTCACAATGCATTGGCATGGGTTCAGGCTGAACAAAACCAAGCTCTGTCATAAACTTTCTTAGCCACACCATCTCACAAGCAGTGTGAGCCATTGCTCTATATTCGGCCTCTGCACTAGATCGTGATACTGCATCTTGTTTCTTGCTTCTCCAAGTCACAAGATTACCTCCAACAAAAGTACAAAATCCTGAGGTTGACTTCCGGTCTCCCATGTCTCCTGCATAGCCAGCATCAGAGAAAGCCGAAATGTGAATATGCACATGCTTCTTATATAACAATCCTTTGCCAGGGCAACTCTTGACATATGCCAAAATCTTCAGAGCTGCTGTCCAATGAACCTCTCTAGGTTTGTGCATAAACCTGCTCAATACACCTACTGCAAAAGTAATATCAGGTCTAGTAACTGTCAAATATATTAACTTCCCAATTAGTCTCCTATATCGTCCAGCATCATCTAGGAGAGAGGTATCATCACGCCACAAATCAACATTTGCCTCCATTGGAGTGCTTGCAGGTTTGCATTCCAAGAGACCTGCTTCTTCTAGTAAATCTAGCACATACTTCCTTTGGGACAACAACAGGCCATGTTTTTTATATGCAACTTCAATCCCAAGAAAATACTTTGGCTTTTTCATATCCTTAGTGATAAAATGACGGTTTAGATACTCCTTAGTCTCAGTTAAGGCAATAGAGTCACTCCCAGTCAGCAGAATATCATCAACATATACGGCTAAAATAACCAAACCAGTTGTTGTGCGTCGAAGAAAGACAGAGTGATCAGACTGACAACGTTGAAAACCAACATTAGAAATAACCTTGCTGAACTTATCAAACCAAGCTCGAGGACTCTGCTTTAACCCATAGATGGCCTTTCTCAGCCTGCAGATAATATTCTCCCCCTGAGCAACATACCCAGGAGGCTGTTCCATATAAACCTCCTCGTCCAAATCACCATAAAGGAAAGCATTCTTCACATCTAGTTGGTGCATCGCCCAATCCATATTAACAGCCAGAGAGAAAAGAATTCTGATGGAGTTGAGACGAGCAACGGGAGAAAAGATTTCAAAATAGTCGACGTCATATGTCTGGGTATAGCCTTTCGCAACCAGGCGAGCTTTATAACGGTCAACAGACCCATTGGGGCGATATTTTAGGGTATACACCCATCTACAACCAACCACAGTCGCTCTAGTAGGAAGAGAAACCAAGTCCCAAGTCCCTCTAGAAAGTAGTGCATTCATTTCCTCATCCATGGCCTGCTTCCAAGCTGGTACTAACATAGCTTCCTCATATGACCTAGGTATAGATACAGTGGACAAGGACAAGGCAAACTGACGAAAAGATGGGTTGAGAAGGTCATAAGCGACAAAAAGAGATATAGGATATTTCGGGCAAGACCGTTTACCTTTTCGAAGAGCAATAGGGATATCCAAGTCAGAAGGAATAGAGGTCTCAACATGAGATGGACCGACAGCTGGAGATGAAGGTTCAGCAGTAGCAGATTCAGGGGCATGTACTTTTGGACGGCGAGAGTATGTCAGTAGAGGCTTCGGTGCAGGAGCAACAGGAGCAGGTAATGGAATAGTAGTAGGAGCAGAAGAAGGTAGTGGTACCTGTGGACAGCCAATAGTAGTGGAACCAGACGAAAAATATGGGACATACTCAAAAAAGGTAATATCAGCAGACACAAAATATTTCCTGATAGACGGATGATAACATCTATATCCTTTTTGAGTACGAGAGTATCCAACAAAAACACATTTGATGGATCTAGATGACAATTTATCCAAACCAGCAGTTAAATCCTGAACAAAACACGTAGAACCAAAGACACGGGGAATCACAGAGAATTGTTTTTTATCAGGATAAAGACAATTGAATGGTATTAAACCATCAAGGACAGAGGAAGGCATGCGATTAATCAAATAATTTGCAGTGAGAACAACATCAGACCACAAATACTTTGGAATATTCATATGTATCATCAGTGTTCTAGCAACATCTAGAATATGCCTATGCTTCCTCTCAGCAACTCCATTTTGTTGTGAAGTGTGAGAGCAAGAAGTCTGATGAATAATGCCATTAAGAGCACAAAATTTTGAAACATCACTTTTCATATATTTCAAAGCATTATCAGTACGAAGAATACGAACAGAAGTAGAGAACTGAGTTTTTATTTCATTATAAAAGAGTTCAATAACGTGCGCGCCCTCTGACCTCTCTTTTAACAGATAAAGCCACGTCATGCGAGAGAAATCATCAACAAAGATAATAAAATATCGAAAACCTTGCACAGAGGGAACACGATAAGGACCCCAGACATCGGAATGAACCAACTCAAAAGTAAAACTACTACGTTTATCGACTCGACTCTGAAAAGTAGCATGATGGTGCTTACCCAGTTCACACGACTCACAACCTAAAGAGGAAATAGATGGCTGAACAGAAACTACCGATCTAAGTTTTTGTAGTAAAGGATAACCCAGACGCCAGTGCCACAATAAAGTAGAGTCAGACTGTAATGCAACAAGGCCAGCTTCTGACACACTGTCGTCCAAATAGTACATACCTCCTCTCTCATGCCCCAAACCAATCTTCATCCCAGTTGCTAGGTCCTGAAAAACACAATAAGATGGAAAGAATGTGACTTTACAATTATTTTGTTTTGTAAACTTGCTAATGGATAATAGGCTAACAGGGAATTTGGGAACATATAACACATCAGTTAGTTTTAAAGAGGAAGTAGCATGAACTACTCCATCACCACGAACTGGAGAAAGAATACCATCAGCAATGCGGATAGAATGAAACTTATCAGAAAGATGTAAAGATACAAAGTGATCCTTTATACCTGTCATATGAGATAAGGCTCCAGAATCTAGTACCAAGGGTTTGTGAGAAGAAGCTATGTAAGCATCCATACCTGAAGAGGATGCATGAGTAGCAGAATGAATATTCTGAGAGAGTTCTAGCTGGCGCAACCTCTCATAATCTGCCTGAGAAATCTGAACAGTAGGAGCAGTAACAGCTGGACCACCAGAAGTAGTAGCAGAAATAGATGAGTTAGTCGACTCTGTATCAGCTACCTGGGCCCACTGAGGACGATCAAACTTCTCCCAGCACTTCTCAGAAATATGATTGGTTCTCCCACAATGACCACACTGTCGTGAACCCTTATCAGATTCACATTGCCTCCCACCAAAGGAACCACGTCCTCCCCCTGAATCACGGCCACGACCATGATCACGACCGCGACCTTTGCCTCGATTAGAGAACATGGCAGACTGATTCATCGTAGGTAGAGATGGTGTAGTAGTATCAGAAGTAACACCAGTAGAGACCTGCATGACTCTGGAGAATGTAGCAGTCAATGAGGGAATTGTATCTCCACCCAATATCTGTCCTCTCACCTGGGACTGTAAATTAGGGTTCAACCCAGAAAGAAATTTGGATACTGCCAGATCACGACGATACCCTAATAACGTCGCTGCATCAGCTACTGCAGGCTGATGCATCTCTAGTTCGTCTATCAGTCCCTTCAATTCACCAAAGAATTCCGGAACTGACTTATCTCCCTATTTGAGCGCAAACAATCGTTCATAAATTTCAAATACGCGAGAAACATTCTTCTCGTTCCCATACATAATCTTTAGGCTGTCCCACATCTCCTTCGCAGTGGTTAAAAACATAACGCTGCTACTGATCTGTGCTTCCATACTGTTGAGAAGCCAAGTCATAACACAATAATCAGATGAGAGCCATGAATTGTAGGTGGGATCTGAGGTTGGTGGTGGAGATACAAGATGTGGTAGTTTGCTCTGAGCGCTAATGAAGATGCGGAAAGCTTGTGCCCAGAGCAGATAGTTTGCACCATTCAATTTAATAGTAGTCCCCAAGACTACCTTGGGCGCAGAGGTCTCACCAACAACAATAGAAGGAGTAGTAGAGGAGGAGATGTCCGACATCGAAGTAGTAGTCATTTTTTATTTTTGAGCAGTAGTAGAGGAGGAGATGTCCGACATCGAAGTAGTAGTCATTTTTTATTTTTGAGCAACAATAGGAGACAAATAGTAGTCAAATAGGCAGATTAGTAGTAGAGATCCGTTTTCGAAACATAAACTAAGAGCAGATCAGGAGCAGGATTAGAGGCAGAGTGGTAGATGGTCATGCCCTCACGCTGCGTAGGCGAGATCACCTGAGGGAGAGCTCTGGCTTTTGTTTGCGCAAAGGCTCAATTTCTATGTTCTTGTTTCTCGAAGGAAACAAGAATAAAAGTAAAATATCTCAACAATGTGAGATAGACACTCTTCCTCTCATCAGTTCTATAACTGAAATATCGAGGCTTTCTCTCATCAGTTCTATGACTGAAATGTTGAGGGATACAATCGTCCTCTCATCAGTTCGAAGACTGAGATGTCGAGGGAATAGGCAACACGATGTAGGGGGCACTGTAGCACGACACTGTAGCAGCGGCAGTACTGTAGCAGCGGGCGGCGGCTAGGGTTTTTTTTTTTTTTGAATGAAGATTTGTGACGGCTAGGGTTTCATGCTCTGATACCATGTAGAGAATAGAGAAAACCCTAATTGTTATTTATTGAGAATAACAAGAGAGATATATATAGCCATACAAATAGGGTTAAGGTTAACGGGTAACAGCCCATTAACCCAATACCCAATACTTAACTTAACACAGTTAAATAACAATAGTTTAATACCTTGGAAGGTGTAGGGGAAAATCCAGCATCCGTGTCTGAAACCACAGTAAGAACAAAATGAACATCTCAAAATAAAATCGCCATGCTCAAATAGTTTATCAAAGAAAACGCATGTATAACTAATCACATTACCAATGAAGCATTTGACCCTGTGACAGCACCTCCTTAATAACTGACCTTTTTCTCCCTTTTTATTCTGGGGTTCCATGAATGGAAGTGCTCGCTGTAGGAAATAATATGAAATAATTAAACAGTTGTGGATTTCTGTAGCAGTTACCAGTTAAAGTTCAAACTAGATTTTATGATAGGTTTGCATGGAGCTGAAGATCAAAACAGACATATAATTACACTGCAGTGGTGACAGATTAATTTTTACAATTTTATATAAAAATTGTGATATGTTTTGAAGTATATAAAATTCTAAAGCAACTTGAGATTTTTGATAGTGAATGATGAACTAATTTACTTTTAGAAACATGTCCTTGTGAATGTTCATTTTTAACTTTTAGTTCAAAACACTCATCATACATGGTGTCTTTTATTTAACTTTTCTAAGGTATTTAGTGCTCAAGAACCTGAACTTGTGTCAGAAGAGCATTCCATCACCACCTTTAAGATTTACTGACTAGGATTTACTGACTAGGTTTAGTGTTCTAAATTGACAAGAACACGCACGCACACAGAGCGGACGCACCAGAAAAGGCAAACACTACCAAAGATACATAGCACCTGAATAAGTGACCCTACTTGAAAAACAGTTAGGTACTGAATGTATCATTCCAGCATTCTTACTGGATTCTTCCCCTACATCTTTCCCTTCTCATGACAACTAATGCCCTTGCAATTATTTTTTTATCCAAAAAGACGCATCATTTATAGTGTGCACAGTTTCAGTTGGCCTAAAGGTTTTTTGTGGCTTGCTTCCTGATGAGGGACAAGGACAGGAGTTGGCAACAAACAAGAAAGAAAATTTAATCTTTGGTTCACTCCTTCGGCATCACATCAATCTCATTTGTACTTTGCTTCACGATTGATGGCTTCATGCCAATTAACTCGTACACCTATAACAAGATTTTACACCCATGATCGCATCACACAATCTGAAGAAATCATTCTTTTTTTCATAAACATTTTCAGACATTACTGAAGAAAAACCAGCCTTTCATAAGGTTGCAAAACTTAAACACAAAAAAAAAAACAATATACACATCATAAATGTCTAGCAAATATGTCTTACCCATCTGGCATCTGGAAGTAATCGACCTAGTCTCCTAATAGATACGCGACTAAACTTTTCAAAGTCTTCTTTTGTCGGGAACCCATCTACCTGCAGCTTTTCCAGAATTCTATCAATGTTCTCTTTCCCCTGAGATAGATCCAGAAACATATCATTATTCATCATTCAACATTGACATACTCTTACAGAAGTTAGCATCTGTGCTTTTCCAGTGAAAATTAGGACAGCCATGGACCATTAAGTCAGGAACAATTAGGGTCCATAGTAAAGAAAATAAGTTTTTACAGCAGGTTGTCAGCCTAACATGAATATTTTCTTATTTGATACATAATTTCTATCACGGCAACTACACAAGGGAGGGAAGGAGGCCTGCAAAATGGAACTCCAACGTTCAGGTACAGGGGCAGATAAGCCTAATTCGCATATAATCAAGAGCAAGTCCCCAAAACCCTATAGACCAAGAAATAACTAGATGAAGAGTTAATGAGATATGGATTTGCATCCAAAAAATAAAAAATAATAATAAAAGGAAGAAGAAGAAAGAAAGAAAGAAAGAAACCAAATGAATCATATCGACAAGATAACCACGAAATACACAAAATTGTGTAAAATCAAAAGGAAAAGAAGAAAGGCATATAAGTGCTCAACCTACTTCGACAATTGGAAAGTAGACACACTTCAACCGCGCATTAGCCTGCCGACAACTCCTGGAGCCTAAATTAATACAACCATTAGGAACAATTTATATTCAAATCCTAAAATAGTTCAATATTAACTTAGACATTAGATCAGATATGTACCAGAACTTGTAGATGTTGGATCTCCTTCATTAATAGTCAGGTGTAGTTGAAGGACAAAATCAGGACCATTACAAGAGTGCAGATTCGTCACTGCAACTTCCCCACTAGCAATTTCAGCTAAATCAGTATGGTTCACCTAAAAGACAAAAGAAATTCTTATATCAGAAACAACAGAAATTAATAAAATTATCTACGCCATCTCAAAATTACTTCTGGTAAATTTAAAAATACTTACAAGCTAGTCATGAACGTAAATGTTCAACAAAGGAAAATTTGTCAAAAATAAATAAATAAATAAATACAGAAATTCAGAATTCCACTCAATAATGTAATAATTAGGTTATGTCTAACTGGCAAAAAAAAAGTAGTAAACATCTCAGCTTAGACATGGAAGTGAAATTTTTAATTCTTCCATTTCTCAAAATAAATCTCTATTAGCAATAGTTTCTGAAGATAACAAATATTGGTTACACAAATTTACGTTTAAGAAAAACCTAACCTGGCATTGTCCAATCATCTAGAAGCAAGCTTTGTTGATGCTCGCTAGTCATGTCTAACTATTCTGGAATAGGCTGATTTTATGTATACAGCTGATGATTATAGTAAACTTTAGCTGCAGTTTCAGTGCCACATATATGTACTACTCAAATGATGAATTACTAGACTACCAAGTATCGGGACATAAATCATGTAATCATGCTCCAACAGAGTAAAAAAGAAGACGTAGGATGCGATTTCATTATATAATATCATATATATATATATATATATATTATATATATATATATATATATATTATATTATATATATATATATTATATAATAGCCAAGACTCCTATCACACTTTAAGTTGAATATCCACCAAAAGTCCTCCACAATTTATACATATAAAACATACTTTTTAATAAATACAAGATCCCTAGGCCAATATGAGTGCGGTAAAAACTTTGGTGCGACACACTATTCCCTATCCACTTAAGTTACACAAGTTTCACATATATATTATATATAGTATATAATATATATATATATATATATATATATATAATTTATGAGAAAAATGGTATACTTGGTACCAAGTAAAATTTTGTGCTTGATAGTTGAGGTCTCTATTCTCATCACCTCATTCCAATTCCCAACCGCTCCCAACTACATTGCTGAATATGAAGCCCAATTTCAATGATTGTGAATGGGGATATCCACCTCACTAAGCACAAAAACTTGTGGGTTGCTTACCAATCATACTAATTTCTCTCTCTCTCTCTCTCCTCCCTTTCCCTCTCTCTATATTCTACTATATAAATATATATATATATATATATATATATATATATATATATGAGAATTTTGGTGAAGAGAAATTCAATCAAGGAAATACAACCTAATATTTTATACTAGGATGGCCGGCATTCCAGTCCACTTTTCTAGGAAAAATAAGAGGACAATCCCACAAAATTAGGAATCTAAACAAACTAGGAAAGCAACTAATTAGGAATCAGTCAATAACTAATCCTATTTATTAGGAAACAAAATAATAAATCCTAATCTACCAGATTACAGAAAACATACTAACTAATCTGCTCCTTTCTACACTCCCCCTCAAGATGGGTTGTATATGTTATACAATCCCAGCTTGGAGTTGAATTCATCGAAACTGATTCTTGGAAGGGCTTTAGTGAGAACGTCAGCAAGCTGCAATCCAGTAGGGATGTAGCTCAATTGAACTATTCCATTGTTGACCTTTTCTGAAATGAAATGCCTGTCAATATTCCACATGCTTGGTTCTGTCATGGTGTACTGGATTTTTAGCAATGCTGATGGCGAATTGACTGTCACTATGCATTTTTATCTGGTCCTTAAAATCAACTTTCAATTCCCTTAGTAATCTCTGAATCCACATTCCTTCGCAAATGCCCAAAGCAAGAGCACGATATTCTGACTCTGCACTACTTCTTGACATCACTGACTGCTTTTTGTTTCTCCATGTAACAAGATTGCCCCAAACAAAGGAGCAGTAACCACTTGTGGATCTTCTTACAGTTAGTTCTCCAGCCCAGCTTGTGTCTGTGTATACCTCTATCTCACAGTTTTCACTCTTTTTGAAGAGTAAACTGTGGCCTGGTGTCATCTTCAGGTATCTAAGAATCCGATTCACAACCTCTAAATGTTCCTCATTTGGATCATTCATGTGCTGGCTAACCACACTCACTGAGAATGCAATGTCTGGTCTCGTGTGTGAGAGATAGATCAACTTGCCCACTAGTCTTTGATACTGCCTTTTATCCACTGGTACACTCCTCATTTTTTCTTAACTTTAGGTTGGGGTCCATAGGCGTCTCTGCAGGTTTACACCCAAGCATGTCAGTCTCAGTTAGCAAATCTAAAATGTACTTTCCCTTTGGGATATAACAATCCCTGCCTTAGACCGAGCAACCTCCATGCCTAGGAAGTATCTGAGAGCACCATGATCTTTAATTTCAAACTCAGTAGCAAGTAATCTTTTTAGTTTGATAATTTCCTCTGAGTTATCTCCGGTTAGAATGATGTCATCAACGTAAAAAATGAGAATAGCAATTCTGCCTTTTGATGAGAATTTCACAAATAAAGTATGATCTGCCTGACATTGATTGTATTCGTTTGTGAGTACTGTTTTGGCAAACTTGTCAAACCAGGCACGAGGTGATTGTTTTAGCTCATACAATGACTTCTTCAGCTTGCACACCTGACGACTGTTTGAAGAGTTTTCTAGGCCTGGAGGTATTTCCATGTAAACATCTTCTTCAAAGATCCCCGTTCAAAAAGGCATTTTTGATGTCTAGTTGGTGCAAAGTCCAGTCTTTATTTACTGCTAGTGGCAACAGTACTCGAACTGTGCTTAACTTGGCAACGGGTGCAAAGGTTTCCTAATAATCGATTCTGTATGACTGAGTAAAGCCCTTTGCCACCAACCTGACTTTAAACCTCTCAATACTTCCATCTGCTTTATACTTAACTGTAAATATCCACTTGCAACCCACAAGCTTCTTCCCTTGAGGTAACTCTGTAAGAATTCAGGTTCCATTGCTTTCTAGAGCCTTGATTTCTTCCTCGACAGCCTTCTTCGATGCTAGATTTTTCAAAGCTTCTTGAATGGAAGTGGGAATCTGCATACTATCAAGAGCTGAGATAAATGATTTATATGATGGCAACAATTTCCCATATGCCACATCTCTCAATAGGATGGTCTGTACATGTTTGGACACCCTTTCTTTGAGCAATAGGCAAAGCAGAATCATCAACAAAAGGAACAAGAGGCTCACGAGTTGAAGAATCCATACCAGGGTGAAACTTTGAAGCAGGAGGCTCCGGTTCAGGTTCTTGACAATCTCTGATTTGAGTGATGTTCTCTAGGTTCTCAGTAGGTCGTCTCCTCCTAGAATAGACACGAAGTTCCTGATGATTTGCACCAAATTGAGGTTGGGTGGACTTATGGAGAACTGAGACTCGGATGGTGTGTCATTTGGACCTGATGTAGAACTGAGACTCGGATTTGAGAACTCAGAAGAGGGTAAGGAGGCTGGACTGACACTTTGGGGTAAAATATAAATGGATTGAGTGTCTTGAAGGATGTTCCAAAGCTGAAATTCCCTCGAGTTCTCCCTCTGAATTGCAGGTTTGGAAAAATAAGATTGGTGTTCAAAAAATGTGACATCCATGGAATTGTACATCTTCCTAGTAACATGTGAGTAACACTTGTCCCCTTTTTGATGAGAAGAATATCCTAGGAAAATGCATTTCACTGATTTGGGATCAAGTTTGGCTCGATGTTGTTGGTGTATGTGAACAAATGATGAACAATCAAAGACTCTTGAGTGGAAGATCAGAAGAAAAAGATTTGGCATGAGGGAAGGCTTGTAGGAGGACTTGACGATGTCTCTGAAATTGTAGCACTCGACTCGGCATTTTATTGATGAGATAGGTAGCAGTAAGAATGGCTTCCCCCAGAAGTGTTTAGGCACATGATTAGTAAACATGAGTGATCTAGCTACCTCAAGTAAGTGTCTGTTTTTTCTCTCGGCTATCCTATTTTGCTGAGGGGTGTCAACACAAGAACTCACATGAATAATTCCTTGTTTTATGAAATAGGAATCCAAAACTGATGTAAAGTACTCCCTGCCATTATCGGTCTTAAGAACCTGAATTTTTATTTTGAAATGGATGTGAATCATGGAATAAAAGGACTAGAAGATTTCCCCAGTTTTAGATTTTTCTTTCACAAGAAATGTCCAGGTGGTTCTAGTATGATCGTCTATGAAAGATATGAACTAAAGAGCCCCATTAATATTTTTCACTTGTGAGGGACCCCAAATGTCACTGTGAATTATAGAGAATGGATGTGAAGGCTATATTGAATGCTAGGATAAACATGTCGAGTGTGCTTTGCAAGTTGACATATTTCACAATGGAAAAACTTAGAATTTTTTTTGATGAACAAATGAGGAAACAACTTTTCAAGGTATACAAAATTTGGATGACCAAGGCGAAAGTGCCATAACATGACTTGACTCTCATTTGAAACAAAAACAGAATTAGAGACAAAATTAGAAACAGACTCAGAAACACAACTTGAATGAACTTGTCCATGTAGAGGAGAGTTCCCTTTGAGCAAGTAGAGACCACCACACATTTCAGCACTGTCAATCACCTTCCCCGAATCCGCTACTTGAAATTCACAAAAATTTAGATAGAATTTAGTCACACGGTTCAAGTCACGGGTGAGTTTACTAATGGAAATCAGATTGCAATCTAACTTTGGAACATAAAGGATAGATGAGAGAAGGAGGTCCTTTGTCAATTTGATTGATCTGATTCCTGCCAGTTTTGAGAGTGATCCATCTGCTATTCGTACTGTAGAGGGACTTGAATATGGACTAAACTTGTGGAAGACATTAATATCTCCGGTCATGTGATCCGAAGCTCCAGAATCTTCTATCCATGGTCTTAATTTTTTTGTTTCCGCAATATGAGCAAAGGAAAATGTACCTTGATGTACTAGCATGCCAGTATGCTGTTCGGTAGTGGGTGATATCTGTCCGAGTAGTTTCTGCAGTATCTCAATTTGCTCCCTGGTGAAGGGATTGGTTTCGGTGCTAGTGC